CTCTCTCTCTCTCTCTCTCTTGCTCTGTCTTTTGCTCTATCTCTCTCTCACTCTCCCTCTCTTTCTGCTAGTTTGTGCCTGTTTTTTTTTTCGCCTTCCCTACTTTCCCTCTTTGTCTGTATATTAAAGATAATGTTTATCCATATTCTCTCTCAGTGCTGAAGCACTTATGACATGGATGTGTCAACATTTCAAGTTGGTTCTCTTCTTTCTTTTTAAACACAAGACAAATCCTTTGTATATAGATAAAAGACGTCTTGCTCAGGTCTTCAGATTTTTTTTTTCTTTCTGACTTGTGAACAAAGTAGTCAAATTGTGTGTATGTTTTATGAATATAGTGATGAGTAAATTTACACATTTTTCAGTGTCTGAGTAAAGTTTCTCATATTAATTATTCAGTCGAAATGAATAGAGGTAAGGGGGGAGTTTTAAAAAATGATATCATATCCTGATTTTCTTTTTCTTTTTTTCCCCCTTTCATAATTGTTTAACTCTAAGTTCCATATTATTATATATGTTCCCAAAATTTGGAATATTTTATGGCTCCTTCTGAATTGGAGAGAGAGTAAGTTGTCAATGCATCTGCTTTCAAGAGTTTGAAAGGAAGAAGCAAAATTAAAGTTCAGATCTTTATGTGTGTTGTTTTGTTGTTGGATTTTCTTTTTTTATGAAAAGGGGGTGGGGTGGGTTGTTGGGTTACAGAAAATAAAACTGTTTGTTGGTACAATACGGTTTATAAATAGAACGTCTTGTCGTTCTTATTTGTCTTGAACGTTTCAATATGCTCCGAGTTTACCAAGGACTGTTATAATAATTTATATAAGTAATGCTCATTTTGAGGCTTGAATGTAGCCACCAATCTCTTTGATATGTCTCAATGACTCTGATCGCCTCTTCCCTGTGTTCTCCTCACGCCTCACTATACAGAGCGGCGCGAACATGAGTGTAAGACAGTCTCTCTATCTCGCACATGTCTCATGATGGATCTGTTACGTTTTTTTGTTTGTACTTACATGTGTTTTTGTGTGTGTGACGTGTGTGTGTGTGTGTGTGTGTGTGTGTGCTTTGAGAAACACCCCAACAGTCCAAAATTAGGGATTTTCTGGTAAGGGAAACATCTAATAGAGAATGCAATGCGGAATACCCTGCTAGCTTAATAAGCAGTTTTAAAGATACGGCTGATTTTGTGAGACAATTTTCAGAAAACAAGTACTTGTATTTGAGAAGCAAGACGAAATTATACATTTTTTAAACCAATAACACTGTTGTAAAGAAAAAAAATCGTTTTTTTCTTAAAGTAACCAAATTAATTTTTTTGAAATAAAAAACAATCCTTTAGCATGGGCTTCAGAAATTATTTTTAAAAAACAGCGATCTTGTGTTTTTAACGGAACAACGCTTTTGACAACTCCAGCATTTTAAACATTTTAATTCATTTATTAACTTTTTTTTGGTGGCGTATGTTCATAAAATATTTTCAATTACAGGAGACATCATCTTGTTATTTAAAGACGAGAGAACCAGTTCCACA